CAACCAACCAACGTGATCTCAGTGAATTTGCAATTAATTCGAAATTGCCGTCATCATCGCACCGTAAAGGCGTACGGACGCGCGTCGTTTACACCATGCATACATATCGGAACGCTCGCGACGAGATACGGCCTGTTCCGATGCGGACGCGTACGATCGCCTGTGATGAATGAGCCGCAGCTCGGATTTCATTAATTAACGGAAGTGGCCGGAATTCGATGGTACGTGGACGCGTCATTCGACAAAGCGAACGTCCGCCGAGTACATCGCAAATTGATATTTAGTAGTTCAGGGATATGTTCCCTTTACTTTAGGCGAATATTGGATTGATCTGATTCTCACGAGAATTTGAGCAAAAGCTTAATGCAACATTAGAAATAGTGATAGTTTTGATACTCATAACATTAATATCCGGATCAGAGAGTTGGGGAAAGAATTTTCCATTAACCACACAATTTTTTCAATAAAATTCGTCCGTGAATTTTTGTTTAATTAGTAGCCATTTAGATGCCTAACTTTTAAAATTTATTTAAATGTTTATTAAATTAAACTACGTTGAAGATTTAAAAATATTACGTAAAACAAATCATTAATAATAATTCATTTACGAATATACAATCTTTGCAATAATTTTTTTTGACAAACGACACGTAGCAAAACTACATCTTATGATAAATGCTGCATTTCAATTGTATAAAAGTGCCATTCGCATGAGATAGACAGGACATGTGCACGTCTAATTGAAAAGAGGTCCCTGACAGATCATCAGACACGTCAACTGTGATAAAACAAGGGCGACAGATCGTGCCCTCCGTGCGTAAGGGAGCGGCGCCGGACTCGATGTGGGTTGCAGTAATATCCTTTTTTCTTACGGAGAGTACGCCCCATCGAGTTCCCATCGGCCCCGAGAGACCAACGGTATTACAAGTAATTGTCGCCCTGGGGAGATCGCAGACGACCCTATATCCACCCCAGTTCCCAACCCGATCTCGGAGATGGAACGAGGATGCGGGAGGAAGGAAGCAAGGCGAAGGAAAAATGAGTGAAGAAACAAGAGAAAGAAAAAAATATGATACCTACTTAGGAAAGCAGAAACAGGAGATGGAAAATATGAGCGAAATAAGAATGTGTAAAAGAAAATAACGTAAGATATATGAAAAAAAAAAAAAAAAAGATTAGCTTTGTGAGGAAGAAAGGGAAGATAAAGAAAGAATCGAGAGCAAAATAGAACAGTATCGTGTACCGCCAGACTGCGACACCCTTCCACGTTTTCCACGACCCTATCGCCATACCCCGGTCCCAACTCGAGGAATAAAAAAGTAGCGCGAAACTTTCGCCTAACAAGTGGATGATTCACAAATCATCCCCGATTCGGCGTGACGCCATCCCTCGCCGATGAGAAACTTCGTTTCAGTCTATATCCTTGCGCAGAACAACCAATAACTCTCGTTTCGCTGCAGGCGACGAGTCAAGAACAGAAGAAAAGATGGAAGGACGGCGGGGAAGAAATAAATGCATAATACCCCGATTCATCGTACGAATCGAGAACCTAATCGAGGGTGCTATCGCTCGAAGTTGCTTCCGCCTCTGTGTTACTTTGCGATCTCTTTTTGCTTTTCTCCAGCTCCTCACCTCGCTCCATTTTTCACTGCGCGGTGACGTTTTCCGAGGGCAATCTTACCGATGAAACATGTTAAAAGTGAAAAATAGCGTTTCCTTCCTGTTCGTGCCGTCAACAACGAGCTCGTCGACGCGATTCCAACATTTCGCGACCGGAATACCAGTGGAATTATGCACGAGCGGAGAGTGCCATCGCGATATGCGATCAATTCGTTCGTAGGGAACTACTACTCGATAGATGAAACCGTCGGACAAAGTGTCGTGACTCATCGATCGAACTCGACGGTCCAGATGACCGGATTAGTTGGAACGTACATCGCGATATCCTACGAGAGATCTTCTCATCCGATCACAGGATGCAGATACGCGAAAACTGAGTGGTATTCCGGTGAGTCAGAATCACGACGAATATGTAGCGTTCCCCTGACAGAGGAAAAGAAGTTTTTGTTCCGAGGATAGACCGATAAAACCGGATAACACTGCGTTTAATCGAGTTGCTACTGAATCCATGAGGCATCATATCTCAATGTGCATAAATGTGTTTGGACGAAATTTGCTACGCTTTTAGCAAGCGGCAAGAAATTTTTAACATATATCAGAGTCTCGCGAATGCATTTTAACGTTTTGCACATGTATCACCTGTCTCCCATTTATGAGTTTATTAATAAATCTCTTTACAGACTTTCTTCTCAGAGAACGTTTAACTTAAGATATTAGTATTCTGAATTTCTAACGCAACGTATGACGTAAACGAAAAAAATTTAGTTCTAGAAAGTTTTAAAAGTTCCAAGAAGAAATAGAAAAAGAATATTTAAAAGACAGAGAAGAAAAGAAACTTTTCTCGACCTATTTTCAGTTTATATATATATATATAGAATATTTAAAAAATTACTTTAATAATAAAATAGAAAAGAATATTAAAAAGCATATGCCTGCAGTTAAGAAGTTCTACTTTTCTCTAGATTTTAAAGATAATTTAGAATTTACTTTGACGTTTCCAATTATTAATTTAACATTTCAATTCAATAAATCATTCAATTAATAATTTAACTATTATATGGGTACTATTATACGGTCAAACAATTTAGAATCAATAAAGCGTCCGCACAAACTCTTTTAACGGGTAGAACTATCGTAGAACTATCTGCACAAAATTAAGTGACCAATTTTCGTGCTGGTTCTCGTCCCGTTACGCACACCATCCTTCTATTCTTTCGTCGTCTCCAACCATTTTCAGCAGCGAAACTCTTCCGTCGTGTCGAAAGTGAACAAAAGATAAGGCGAAATGGCAGCTCCGTGATCACGGAAATGGTGCGATTTCGCAGTTAACGAACCTGCGAATAGGTCCACGAAATAGGGTAGAAGTGGAGGACTGGAAAACACTCCCTTGCGGGATAAGATGGGCCGCCGTGGTATTCTTGCAATAAAGCGTCCACCGTAATGGTACTAGACGTATGTTATACATCTACGAGCGAGTGGATGGACGTTTTTCCAACGACATTTCTAACAACGGACTGGGATTCATAGCGTGAACATATCGGCCTTTTACGGACGCTCGTTCTGAAAAATCCCTGGATTCAATGAATTAGTGATACGAGTTTCATCAACATACAGGTGGCGACAAGTAAAGAATTCGTCGGCGTCATTTAACTTTGTGACCAAATAAATGCGGGCGAATATGAGCCGTAATTGATTTAACTTCTATTTTCGTATGTTGATCTTATATATAGATTTTATTAATTCACTTAATGCTGATATATATATATATATATATATATAACATATTATATATTTAGAGAACCTATTATTTGTATAACAAATATTTGTAATACTAATAAAAAATGTCCAATTATCTATATTTTTAAAGTAATTATTGATACATGATGTTTTTATTTGTAATATTTCTATACAAAATCATTACAAACATCGAGTATATAGAAGTAATATCATTTTTAATGATAACCATCGAAAGAATTTGATAGAAAAAGATAATATGATAATAGAGTATAGATTGAAGCTAATCAGCAGAATAATAACTAGCAGAATTCGGTATAGCAATCACAATCAATGCTGTAGCAGTTAGAACGGTGATTTCCTTGTCGTTTAACATCCCATTGAGGGAGAGCCGCGACTTTTCACGTTTTTCCCGCGTTCTCCACCGTATGAGGGGTTTCGAGGGCGCGTTTGGTTTCCTTGGTGACCGAAGGGAGCGCAAAACTGAACCGCACGGTGTACACCGGCTTGCTCCGTCCCTTTCACGCCCAGGCCATCTGTTTGTATTTCATATTGATAGAGTATTGATACAGCCCTGCACTGTCGTGCCTCAACCCTCACGAGCTATGCCAAGCCCCTCTTAACCCTCGGCGGACACCCCCGGTAAACCACCGTGACGGGCCACCATCCCGCAGCGAAACGTAAACGAGGATACCGTGTGTTACCATTCTAGCCGGGTCACGTGTTTACTTTGTTTCGCATTGTTGCGTCTCGTTAATGGCCGGCGGAAACGTTTTACTCGAGCGATCCATTTTAACATCCCTTGGCGACAGTCGCGGTTATACAAATTGTGATTCCTTTTGTAATCAAAGAAAGCAGTTCTCCTTGTAATAATCGTGTTTGTAATAATCTCATACGACGTATATTAAAAGAGCTAAAGCTTTTTGCTCTTTAAAGTAGATTTTGAATAGAAGCAAGAAGTCTAGGTTCATAAATTTCCTTTAAAAGACCGTAAACCATAAATTGTAAGTGACGATATGTCGACCGGAGAACTTACGCTTTTAGGCTAAGAATTAAGTAAGAATTAGGTTGTGTTCAATTCACTCAAATTTAACGCTTAAAACCTAACTGCGCAAAAACAGTTTAAAGGCAGAAATTAATGTCACTCAACCTCGGTCGGTTTACAATTTATGGCCTCTTAAAGCAAGGTTGTGGCTCGATATTAAGTATAATTCGTACATGGAGAGAGTGATTTTGCTGAAAGGTTTAAAATTTTATTGATATAAATCTGAAAATAATTTTGTTGGAATCCAAATTAATAACTAGAATATAAAAATTTTTTGCAGCATTGCTTATTATTTTTTAATTTTCCATATAATTATTTTGTTAAGTGACAATGGAGCGAGAAATATTCAACACAAATGAATGAAAAGCAGGTCATATTTTTGATCAAGGCGAGTATTAGAGTTTAATAATGTTGTATGAATTTTTACAATTTCCGATTTAAGTAAATTGCGCGCTGTTAATACTATTTCTAAAGCACTGTACATAATTTATTGCAAAAAATAAATAAATGTAAATAGTTATTATGATATAGTTCAACAATTAAAATTATTTTCAGATCCGTATCGAGCAAAATTTTTAATCCTTCAGAAAAATCATCCTTTTTATGTAGGACTAGACACTTGATTGTGCTAAAAGCATCTTACAATTAGACACATATATCTATATACATACCGGATGTCCTACGAGGCTCTGCCATGAAAATTCTAGGTCCGCTATGTTCGCTGGCACAGGTACGACGAAATTCATCGCGTACGTGTTGACCACCCCCTCCCGAACGTAGTACAACTCGGCCTCGAGTCCTGAAAGCAGAATAGCGGAGTGTATCGATTGGACGATCAATTATGAAAAAGCTGTACGATGCCGCCGGCAAAGTTTACCTCCACCTTCCCTGCCCCGATGAATCGACCGATCGTGAACTACGGCACGTGCAGCCCTTCGTTATAAGTTGGGGACATTGACCACGGTCGCGTCTTCTTTACACGAAGTATCGCAGTTGCACGGAATTCATTTCCATGGAAACTTCAGGAGCCAGAATAATGTCGCTGTTCTCTCTGTCGAGAGAACTTCTCGTTTCAACGGCACGCGAATTGCGCAGTACAGAATTATTGTCGGAGCTTTGATAGAGTATTACACGAGCTTTCCTCTGAATATATATCTTTACAATATTTACACTGGTATACTATGCTTTCTCTTCATCTTATCATAGTATGCTGTCATAGTGTGCTGTACATTTATATATATATATATATATAAAACTTGTAGCGATATAGATTAAAAACGGGGAGGGCGAAAAGCGAAATGTCTATCACGGGTGCACATGTCGACGTACGATATCGGCGTGACAAGAGGTCTAATACGACGATTATTATCGGCGTATTTCGCATACGACGAAATCGTATCTCGGGGAATATCTACCGCGGAAATAACCACGGAGATTCCGCGAACGGATTTATAATACGAATCCGTCGATGCCAGGTACTCCATCCTACCCTGCTCCTCGGTGCACATCCTCCTTTCTCGGTGGATCATGATCTGAAAATTCCTCTTGGGCACTCGCACGTATAGTTGCGCCTCCGCCCTTCTCGCTCTTCCCTCCCTTCTCCCCCCCCCCTCCCCACCCCCGGCACCTCTTCGTCGCTGCCAGTCCGCAAAATCTCGTGTAGATACATAAGGATCTGAATTTCCTCAGGCGATCGGATGCGTCATCCGTCTGCCTTCACGTATGACTACGCAATTCGATATCACGCTCGCGAACAAGCTCTCTGTCAGATATACCGTACGTACATAGGTACCTACCGTCGTGTTCGACGTCGTGCCATGGCGCAACGTGGTCGCGTTTGCACCGCGATAAGATCCTTGAAAAAAGCGAGATATTCAGATCCAGAGTGCTGTACACTCGATGAAAGAGAAGCACATAAAATGCAGTAAAAGAGAGGAAAATGGAAAAGAACAGAGGCGAAGAGGGAACGTTGAGGGGATCGAATGTTTTACAAATCCGTATGATATCCGTTCTCGCTGTGAGCAAGAATACTTGTCGCGGTTTGACGAAAGTTAACACTGTTAAAAATTGAAAAGCTTCACCTCCTCGCGAACTGTAATTCGTTATTAACGCGTCTTTGATTGAACATTGCAATTTAGCTTTTAATTAAATTATATAAACTCTGTAACTATTTCTATTTAAATTTAAATTGTTACACAGTAACTTTTGTTGAAAAATATTTTTATTGTTATTTCTAAACAGAACTGTTTTCAGACATCCTTACGTAACACATAACACATTGTACAGTTAGGAAAGTTTTAACTGCAATAATAGATTCGCTCTAACTCTAAATGGTCTGACTCTGCAAAGAGTTCTACTACTTTTGCGCTTTCAGTTCTTTGATGAGTTGAAAGAGTTTATGACATTAGTTCTTTGATGAATTTTTTTATTCACTTTTGAAAAACGTATTAAATATTATAGAATATAAAATTGCAATATAAATATTATTTCAATATTTCGAAACTTTATTAAAACAAAACTATTTGTCTGCAATCGTTAGTCATTTATAATATAATTTTTTTGTTATTTATTCGCGTAGAAATTCATATAAACGTAAAAATAATAAGGATCCATAATTAAAGTAAAGATGGAAAAAGTATCCACGGAATTAAAATATATATCAATAAAGCAAATTTAATGTAACGAAAACATTTAATAAACAAATTTACGTAAGTTCCCTGCAAAATAAAATCTTAATGGAATTAGAATCTGAAAAATCTCAATGGACTGTACAATCTATATTCTTGAGCAAGATGCGAACGCCTGTGATAAGGTTTAGCGACAGCTTAACGTTTCGTGAATATACGTATACATTGAAATGCTGGTAGTCGAAGTTTAAGGCGGCGGGCGGACTCAAGGGTAAGCGTAGTAAGAAGATTAAGTAACTTTCTACTTCGTGCCCCGGGTCTTACGGAGGAAAGACTAACACCCGGCAGAGAAACTGATAATGACAGTCGGCTGTGTATTAAGCGAAACATCCGCGAAATCGAATTAATCCCTCTGTACTTCATTTTATTATCAGACGTTAATCCCGGCTAAAGTGGAGAGTCGTGTCTGACTAAGTAAACGCGTTACCACTTGCACTTCAAGATGCCCCGAAACTCGTCCCCGAAAATCTCTCTTCCTAATAGTATCGTGTTACGCGTATCCCGCATTTATACATTTTCTGTTTCAAAAGTATTTAATGTGTTTCATGGTATTTATCATATTCAAAATTCTGTAAGTTGTATGGGATAAGGTAAGTTCCAGTGACCAGACACGTACGCTATGTCCGAATATTTATACAAAACTTTATGCTTGTTTACATTATTATTAGTTTCAAATGCTTTTTTTATATTTAATATATTATGATTTAATTGTAATTTTTTTTAAATCTAATTAAATTATAATATTGTAATAAAAAAAAAACATTTGAGAGATTAATAATAATAAATTTTGTGTAAGTATCCTGACACAGGTACATTGAGACATTTGCCTGAATAAAACTATCCTTTACTTGCGTAGTTACTCTCTAAAACTTTTAAAGTGATCTCACTCTGAAGAGTAAAATCTCACTCTTTAGAGTGAAATCCACAGAATTTAGAGAGTACCCAAAGCACAATCTCCTAAAGCCGAAAATAAAAAAGTGACTTTATTAGAAGAGCGATTTACATTGAATTTTTGTTTCAAGGTAAGAGCAGCGTAAATGAAGAGATTTTGTGGATAGGGATGTGCTCTATCATATAAATGCAACACTTCAGGACATATAGACGCGCCTTGATCTCTCATCAAAATTCTCTCTTTCGTCGTAAAAATCTCTGATTCATCATAAAAGTAACGCGAACGACTTCACTAATGGGAACCTTTTCATTACGAACGCAAGTTCACAGTGAACGATTAGCTTTCAGTTCCAGCCAATTAAATCTCTCGCTCGCGAAATGGACGCGTGCGGCCAGCCGGAAAATCGAACAGCGAACTTCCGATGGACACGAATCTTTATTATCCAGCTTTCTCTCCTTCTTCCGTTTAACGCGTCGCGAAATAGCCGGGATGCAAAGTTGCCGGGGATATTTATACGTCGGTTTATCAGTCGCAGCTATCTCCGCGCCATACCCGCGGGAATGCCGCACACGTAAAACGGAACCAGCTCCGAGATACAGCATCGAAGCAGCGAGAGCGAGCGAGGCGCGATCGTGCCGAGAAAAGTGTGGGCGTACAGTCTCTCTATCTCACACGCGTACCATGGAGAAGCTTGAGAGATCCAGTCGGTGTGTTGGAAAGCCGGGAGAAAATATTTCACAAGAAGATAAATCTTAGACGATCCCACGAGGTACGAGCACGCGCAACTAACTCAGGTGGATTAAGTTCCGCGATATCGTCTGGGGGTTTTGAGTGGGCAACAAATGGACATAATCAGGTTGTGCGCGCCGCTCGCTGTGGCACAGCCGTTGCATTACGTTGCTGGGATTACGTGGGGACTGCGTAGGCGACTCCGCGTATACCGCTATCGTAGATTTCATTTCACGGCATCCCGCATCTTCGTTTCGACGTAGGTACATTAAAGTTTGGGAGGGCGGCGAAAAGTTAGCGGCGCGAGCAAACGTGTAATTGCACCTCGCTCTCTCTCTCTCTCTCTCTCTCTCTCTCTCTCTCTCTCTCTCTCTCTGCACATGGTTTCGCAGCGTCGTATACGTTTGTAGAATCTGCAGCTTAAATTGCTGCTACACCTATGCAGCAAACTCTACTATATGCGTGCGAAAGGATGAAAACTAATAGTATGTTAAGTGTGTATATTCTCTCTCCTGAGACACGAAGTAGTTGGTTATTTAAAATATACCTATATGTACGGACTTATTTTTTTTAAACGAGAAGTGGAGAGTGTAATATTCTCCGCAACGTTCTTCGAATTTTATATTAAGGATCTGTCGCTAGTGAAACCCTTCGCGAAAAGAATTCCTTTCGTTTCTGTTTAAAATTGCTTGAAAAATAAGACGTTACTTATTGCTTTCACACACTTAATTCCATCGGAGATATATTCATAGAGCTGTCACGTGTCGCATTTCCTGCACGGTAATCTTTCTTCAGTCTTTTACGTAACTTCGGGAAGTATCTGCGTATAAAAGTTTTCTATCTTTCGAGGCATGGAAATTCCGTGAGGCGGACTCGAACGATGTAGCGTGCAGACATGCGAGCGCGCGTGCAAATATCATTTATTTTATCTTTTATTACGTAGTTTGTCCTTTTATATGATAAAATCGCGGTCGAATCCATCAAATCACGTGACGTATCTCCCACATGCAACCGTGCGAGATCACTGCGGGTCATAGGGCGATCTATCAATTTGCCGTCGAGACTACGGAAGGAAGAATTTAGGAAGAAGGGTGGCTGGTTCTCTTGTCTTATCCCATGGGAGATGGCTCTTCGTTGGATGAGAGCACGGGAAACATGGAAGATAGTT